CGACTAGATATTAATCGAAGAAATGCGATTAAATCGAAATCTAGAATCCTTATTTTATTTCTCTCATTACACTGCTCGAACCGTTTTGTGTATGTTTCTTTCTCTTCGTTTCTTCTCTTCGTTTCTTTCTCTTTTGTTTCAATTCATCAGCTAATACGCAAATAGTTATGTGGTTTTTGTTTTTTCAAATTCGATTATTCAACACGAAATGCATGCTTTTAGACCGTTATAGGTGTGACAGTCCGATCGCTACACGCTTATATTATATTTTCAACTGTCATGTATCATGATAAAAGTGATGATACAATTAATGTGTAATAAATCATAAAATAACAGAGAAAATTTTTAATAAAATATTTTTGTGCAAGTTCCAACTTTTTCATTCGTAATTGGATAAAATGCGTACAACGTATATAAAAAAATATATCTACTGTCAAAATGCATTATATCTATGTTGATAGCTGCTCACTCACGGAATAAACGTAACGAAGGAACTCATCAACGTTACAAAAAAGAATCGATAACAATTCATTTATATTCGAGAACCTTTTTAACATGCTTATTATAGGTTAATTGAAACCGATTGTAAGTCATATACTCTGACATATTAGCTTAAAATTGTTAACTCCCCTTAGATATTGAACTACATTTCCATATGATAGATGTAACATGTTATTTGTTCTTAAAAAATATCTTGGAAATCTCTGCTTTCTCGTTCACTGAGAATGAACTAATATAAATTCCTGCTCGTATAGCAAAGTAAATTACGTCGTGTTTAAAAGAATGATGATAAATCATCGTGATATGTTCAATTGGAAATTGATTGGACTTTATTTGAGATTTTTTTTATCGAATTTCTTAAAATGGGAAATATATATAGTCGAATTCAATTCTAACATATAATTAAAGACCATTTTAATAATAAATATGTCAAAAACTTTCTTACCGTACTGTATCGTATAATTAATGAAATGTGTTAAACATTTCCGTTGTAACTTTTATTTTAACCTAGTAAAAAAATGATAATATGTGCTATCGTCTAGGCCATGTTTTAAATATATATTGATGATATATGATGAAAGCAAAGATATGCAATTGTAAAAATTAATTCAAATGTTAATTTCTACAATACATAATATATTATATGATAAAAGTGACATATCCAATCGGTTTATTAACCAAATAGATGACTGGGGAGCCGAGGGAATGTGAATAATTAAATCAACTCTTGTTCCATTTACTGAAATATACTTTCTAACGTATTAAATGCATAAGACAAATTATTTTTTTAAATGTCAACTTATTATAAAAATGTTATTATAAAAATGTGTCCATTTCTATTATGATAATTCATTCATAATACATCGATTTTCGAAAAAACATGAGTATGACAACTAAAGTATTATTAGTAATTCTAAATATTAAGTAAATATTAAGTAAATATTACAATAAATATTAAGATTACATATGCGTTTTACAGTTCAATATAATGTTATAATGAGTGATTATAAAATGACTGATTATAAAATCATATCAATTGTAAAATATAATTTCAATCAAATATAATGTAAATATCAACTAATTTTATACAATTATCATTTTTAAAATAATTATTATAATTATATATAAATTATACATAATTACAATTATAAATAATTATAATTATAAATAATTATATATAAATATTATTATTGTATATAATATAATAATTATATATAAATTAGGGTTATTGCGATACTATAATATTAATATAATCAAATAGATGATGTATAAAAGAAAAACAATTTCTTATTATAGTCCTATGTTCTTGTTATGTATGTAATCTTTTCTTCAGTCATCGTCATTAATGTCAACATCTGAGAAAAAAGACAGTCCTAACTTGATATATGATTTCATTGCTCTCAACGTCTTTCTCGAAATCTGTATCATCATCCTTTATTTATTTTGAACTTATCGATAACCTGCAAGCCAATCGGTGAGATGTATAAAAAAAGAAAAACTGCCTTAACATAGGTAATATGATGTTCCATTTTAATTAGGTATATTATTGTATTATTATATCCAAAATGGAATTGTTTTTATTTATCCAAGAAATCACATATTCGAAATCAATTATTAATACTCAGAAAACGCTTAATTTTTCTAAAATTTGTGTATACCAAAGAGACAATAAATTAAAAAATTTTAATGTATATATGTATTATTAAATTGAGATATGCTCTTGATATTGACAACAAAATAATTTGGGATGTTAAACAAGTAATATGTTAAACACATATATTGAGATTATAATATGATATTAAGAGTAGAACACATATTTAATATGAAAATTTTATAATAATTTAAAGATACTTTTTGTATTTAGTATTTGATATATATAATATATTTGATCTTACTTCTCACAGACTAACAGGTATTTACAACATTTAATACTATTCATTTTAATTGTTCTTTTTGTGTGGCTTCTTAGTATGTATCGTTTCGTTACAAATTTGAATTTGTATTATTCTTTTCAACAACGGATGGTTGTATTATTACATCAGTAATATATTTCTTCCCGCGGTGCATTTTTAATGGTTCTTTTTTTGCAAAAAGTATTTTAAATTGCATTTGAGTTAATTATATTTTATAATTATTTTTTAATTATATGCAGAATGTCGCGTCTACAATGTCAAAACGAATGTTTGATAAAGCTGTTTAGAAGAAATCGAAAAGAAATAGAAATCCTTGCATCAATAGAAATATATACAGTGATATATAGTTTCCATTTTGTCAAATTATCAAATTATTTGCTCTACATTTAATTCTTTAAAGTATAAGACACAAAAATAATGTTGTTTAATGTATTATCGGTTTTAATATCTATTTCCAATTATATCTACATTCTCCTTGCTGTTGCACTATAATCTGAAATTAGAATTCGATAATTAATATTATATTTTAACCAGATATTTTTGCTGATTATAATTATTGAATTACAAATTCAAAGTACTTTTTTTATATAAACGTCTGCATAATAGAATATTCACTCAAAATTCAAATCAAA